GTGTTTAATGCAGACTCACTCCTGATCAGATTAACAATCAGCTTTATAATCACTAGCAAAATAATCAGAGAACAGCTCAATGTGTGCGTGTTTTCTTTGTCTCGTGTCTGCAAAAGAGGGTTACAGTGTTCCAGGGATTAACCCAACTAACCAAATGGCCCTAAAACCCCCCGCCTTCACACCAACCGCCACCCTACCATGTGATTATGAGATATCTGATCAGAATTCATCAGAAACAGTGCGTAAAAACCCAAGAACTGACCTCAGATCTGCCCAGATACGACCGTCGGCCAATCACACGACAAGAAAACCACGCAGCTGAAGGGTCAGAGGTCACACAGGAAGCTCAACAGGTTTGACCCCCATCACGACATCATACTCCACCTAAACAGAACAAATGATAACAGCTGAAGCAAATGAGACTCTTAAAACGCCTAAATGTCATTGAACATATAATCAAATATCAAATCAAATAAAAAAAAAAATGTCAGATTAAAAAACATTATGGTCACATAGTGATAGAAATTTGTCTTAGGTTAGGGCTCATAAACAACAAAACTTAAAAAAAAAAAAAATGTTAAATTAAAAAATTATATAGTACTAAAATCAGAAAAAACTTAGTACTAAACTTTTAAAAATCAGAAACTTAAAAACTTAGAACTAAAACTTAGAAAAACTTAGCAACTTAAAAATTTAGTACTAAAACTTAGGGGAAAAAATTTAGAAACGTAGTACTTAAACTTAGATAAAACTTAGAAACGTAGTACTGAACTTAGATAAAACTTAGAAACGTAGTACTGAACTTAGATAAAACTTAGAAAAACTTAGCAACTTAAAAATTTAGTACTAAAACTTAGGGGAAAAAATTTAGAAACGTAGTACTTTAACTTAGATAAAACTTAGAAACGTAGTACTGAACTTAGATAAAACTTAGAAACGTAGTACTGAACTTAGATAAAACTTAGAAACTTAGTACTAAACTTACACAAAACTTAGAAACGTTGTACTAAAACTTAGAAAAACGTAGAAACGTAGCACTGAACTTAGATAAAACTTAGAAACGTAGTACTGAACTTACACAAAACTTAGAAACTTAGTACTAAACTTACACAAAACTTAGAAACGTTGTACTAAAACTTAGAAAAACGTAGAAACGTAGTACTGAACTTACACAAAACTTAGAAACGTAGTACTGAACTTAGATAAAACTTAGAAACTTAGTACTGAACTTAGATAAAACTTAGAAACGTAGATAAAACTTAGAAATGTAGTACTGAACTTAGATAAAACTTAGAAACTTAGTACTGAACTTACACAAAACTTAGAAACTTAGTACTGAACTTACACAAAATGTAGAAACGTAGTACTAAAACTTAGAAAAAACTTAGAAACAAATAAAACTTGGACACCTCTTAGTAAGGCTATTTTGCGTTATTTAAAATGGACTGCACTAGGAATAAAAGATACACACACACATACATACACACAAATACAATTTAAATACATTAGTGGATGTTAGCAAGTCACATTGCAGGAAAACCGTGGAGTGGTTTTCAGATCCCATCTGAACAGAACAAATGACAACAGCTACATCAAACGAGAAACTTAAAAAAATAAACTTCATTGTGTATCACATAGTCTAAGGTTAGGGCTGACAAACAACTTCAAAACAGCCATAAAATTGACACATAGTACCAAATAGTACTAAAAATGTAAAAACTTAGAATAGAAACTTAGTACTAAAACTTAGAAACTAAAACTAAAGAAAGTAGCACTAAAACTTAAAGCACTTTCTGGTGAGACCGCCAGTTTAAAATGAATATTTTACTAGGAACAAAAGATGCACACACACAAAAAACACAGTTTAAACACATTAGCAGATGTTAGATGTTTAGCAGAAGGTTGAATGCGTCTGAAAACTGAGCCTAGTAATCTCACATATATTCATCTCCTCTTGAGTTTCTCTCATTAATGTCTCGAACTGTGCTCTGATTTGTCTGCCATCAAAAGCCAGAGATTTTAATATGAGCTCAAGCATTTACTGCTTTGTTTAAAAGGGATACTGCACCAGGGATAAAAGACAAACACACACACAAATACAATTAAAACATATTAGTGGATGTCAGCCAATCCCACGGCAAGAAACCCCCGCAGCTGAAGGGTCAGAGGTCACGCAGGAAGCTCAACAGGTTTGACCCATGAAATCAGACTCCACCTGAAGAGAACGAATGACAACAGCTGAAGCAAATGAGACACTTGAAACGTCTGCATGTCTTTGAACATAACATCTCAAATCATTTCTTTGTAAGTAAAGAATATCTCTCTCTCTGTGTCTGTGTGTGTGTGTCTGTATGTGTAGAGTACAAGTTTAAAATAAGTTGTAGCTAACCTTTCATTCACAATTGATTTCAATAGTTTGATGTTAGCATGTATAACATGCAGTGCTGGGAAGGTTACTTTGGAAATGTAACTGGTAGTGTAACTATTTCAATTACTTTATTAAAGTGTTTTAACTGATTGCATTTGGTTACTTTTGATTACTTTTTTAAATTTCTGATTTTTAAACAAGTAAAGCAGGCAGGGTTCACTTCTTTAAAAATCAGAAATTTAAAAAAAGTTTGATGTTGTGGTGGCTGTGCTTTAAAATTAAGCTATTATAATCTTAATTTAAAAGCACAGCCACCACAACATCAGACTTTAGCGTCTCCTTTTACTTTGAGATCATTCTGATTCTGGAAAATTCTGATCATTCTGGTTAAATACAGATTTAAAATCATAACAAGAAATGGTTTAATAGCTATGATGCTGTTTTTGAAATCAAATCTTTGCATAGTTATGACAGAAAACACTGGCATCTAATGTGTGTGTGTGTGTGTGAGTGTCTGTGAGTGTGTGTGTGTGTGTTCAAGTGTCAGCAGCGTCTCTGAACAATAGTGTGCATCTCCATATGTGGGCAGCCTCGCGCTCAACAGGCCATCTGCCCGTGTGTTTGTCTCACTCGAGCACACACACACACTCGCTCACAAAACAGCCTCAATTAAAGCAGCGATTGTGCTTTTATGACGTCAGGACACAAATCCTCTGCTGACCGTAATCGCTCACAAACAGAACAAAACAACCAGACGGACACAATAGTGCAGCCTATACTGCCTAAATAGACAGCTACCCTTTTAGATGTCTAGTGCACTAACCCAAACAACACCTCAAAACACTTAACGCTTAATATGTTTGATGAAAAATAAAGGTTGTTGATAGCACGTTCCTAAGTTGACAACTCAACTACTGAGTACAAGTTTAAAATAAGTTGTAGCTAACCTTTCATTCACAATTGATTTCAATAGTTTGATGTTAGCATGTATCACATGCAGTGCTGGGAAGGTTACTTTGGAAATGTAACCGGTAGTGTAACTATTTCAATTACTTTATTAAAGTGTTTTAACTGATTGCATTTGGTTACTTTTGATTACTTTTTTAAATTTCTGATTTTTAAACAAGTAAAGCAGGCAGGGTTCACTTCTTTAAAAATCAGAAATTTAAAAAAAGTTTGATGTTGTGGTGGCTGTGCTTTAAAATTAAGCTATTATAATCTTAATTTAAAAGCACAGCCACCACAACATCAGACTTTAGCGTCTCCTTTTACTTTGAGATCATTCTGATTCTGGAAAATTCTGATCATTCTGGTTAAATACAGATTTAAAATCATAACAAGAAATGGTTTAATAGCTATGATGCTGTTTTTGAAATCAAATCTTTGCATAGTTATGACAGAAAACACTGGCATCTAACAACGGCTTGAAAAAATGTAATCTTAAAAAATAAAGCATACACATAAACCATAAACCCAAAATAGGAAATAAAACAGTTGTGGAATAAGCATGTGTCCTAAACTCATATTTTAGCGCAGTCAATGCAATTCATTAAAGAAATAAATTAAATCTGTATGCGTAAAGAAATATTCAGATGTAACCCCCTTGTTAAACGTTAACTGTAATTTAATTACACATTTGTTTTTTTAAGCAACTGTAACACATTAGTTACATTTATTTTGTAATTAAATTACGTAAATCTGTTACATGTAACTAGTTACTCCCCAGCACTGATAACATCACAATTCAATTACTAATTCCAATAGCTTTATATTAGTTTGCACCTAAGATTTCATTCAATCCAATAATTTGACAATAACTTGTTGCTCATAATTGACTTCAACAGAGTTTGACGTTAGCATGTCGCTAAATGTCACTCACAACTAATTCTAATAGTTTAATATTAATTTAGCTACACGAAACACTTCATTCATTCCAATAATTTGACACTTAGCATTTTATAACGTACAGCTGAGTTGGGAAAAAGTCTATTTTAGAGTGATTTATCCTTTTTTTAAAAGCACAATTTGGTTGTTTTACTATATCTCGTTGTTGTCATACAAGCACAGCAAAACTATTTTTTTGTCTTTAAATGGTTGTTGCATATTTAAATACAGAAAAACTAATTTAAACAGAAGAATGAGAATTAAATCTGTACTGCGTACATACAGCATAAAGTGTATGAAAAGAAAAAAGTATACAAGGCCGAAAATTAAAAGCGCATGTGTAATAAGTGTACAAATATAAGAAATTTACATTTAGATAAACATAATTAGATGCATTTCAAAACATGATACAACATTGCATGTAGTGCGTTCTGGGATTGCATGCAAGTGCTTTGAGCAATTCACGTAATGCTGCCAATTAACAAATTGTCAGTTCATTTTTTAATAAGGCAGCATGATTTTAACTTTCATGTCAGTTGCATCTATGATGCTTTAAAACGTTGTCGAAGTCTGTCAGTGCGTGTAAAACAAGCCAAGCAGACGCCGCTCATGGGAAGAGATCGGAGACGTGAAACTTCATTACAACACCATGAAGACATCAGACCAGAGGAGCGTTTCATTCATAAAAGGTTTATTGTAATAAAAATCGACTGTACGGCTCTATATCTGCACAAATGCATTAAAAAAAAAATTTACATTAAAAGCAACTCTGCTCTGAAATAGCTTACAAACTACATCTAAAACAGTAAACGAGCTGCTCAGCAGCCCGCGAGATACTACAGACGAGTCTCTGCTAGCACTCCCGCCCCAAACCAACCAACACACGCAAAGCATTCTGGGAAAACACAATCACTTCCACTAGAGACGCCAGCGGTGGAGCCTCCAGTCCGCGCGACTCGTTTCAAGAGCGTATTGCCTGAATATTGCACAGTAAGACTTAAAGAGCCAGGCAGTGACGTTTATTAAGGGAGCGGTGGCGCTGTGGTTAAGGCAAGAGGGGATTATGGGAGTTTGTTCATTGTATTAAAGTATATTTGATATATACATCTTTCGTTAGCAGCTCCTGCAGAAATCATGAAGCACCACCTGAAACGTACTTAACGCAAATACGTTGCATTCTCGAAGCCACCACAGGTGGCGCTATAAAACGCAAACTAGTTTTATTATTATCATCATCATGGTTGAGTTTGAAGAGAACCTTTGTGAGCTTATAGAAATAAGTACGTTTCAGGCCCTTAATTGCTTTACATTCTCGTGAGGTATCATCGTAATTGCGCTAAAACCGCGCGCGAGCACCAGTGGAAACACCCAAAACCTGTTTTGGGATCGTAAAAACAAACAAGAGTCACAGTGCCGAAATATCTCTAGAGTCAGTCGTCCAGTCGTGTAACAACCAGTGCTTTAAAGTTCATCTTAAATAAAGGATTAGGATCAGGCCGTGAAGTCGCGGGAACTTAGGTAAACTCTCGTTGGCGGTTGGTCGGTCGGTCGGTCGCGTGCGTTCAGCTGGACACCATCATCAGGTAGCTTTTCGGCGGACTTGTCCGGCCGCTCATCATGTAGCGGTTTTTGCAGTTCGCCGTCTGGTCGTACACCGAGGGGGCGGGGCTTGAGACGGGCGGCTCGGCCTCGTAGAGAACGCAAATGGAGCCGTCCTCGCCGATGCGGTAGGACACTTCGTACGGGTCGACCCACAGCGTCAGCTCCCGCGGCAGGAGCGAGAAAAGCTGCCCGCTGGTCAGTCCGATACGGCCGGCCGCTCGGCCGATCAGAGGGTCCATTTCGTGATTGATCCGTATGCAGCGGTAACCGGATCCCTTCTGCGGCCTGTCGGGGAACCAGTGGTGCTGGTAGTGTTCTGGAGAAAAATAAACACTTTCGTTAGCATCCAAATCTTTTAGCATAGTATATGATCACTGAATTAACATAAATGTGTGTTGATATAATGGTAATACTTTTATATGTGAGCCTGGAGCACAAAAGCAGTGTTAAGTCGCTGGGGTATATTTGTAGCAATAACCAAACATACATTGTATGGGTCACAATTATACATTTTTCTTTTATGCCAAAAATCATTAGGATATTAAGTAAAGATGATGCTCCTTGAAGATATTTAGTAAATTTCCTACCGTAAATATATCAAAACTTAATTTTTGATTAGTAATATGCATTGCTAAGAACTTCATTTGGACAACTTTAAAGATGATTTTCTCAATATTTAGATTTTTTTGCACCCTCAGATTCCAGATTTTCAAATATTGTCCTATCCTAACAAACCATATACCAATGGAAAGCTTATTTATTCAGCTTTCAGATGATGTATTAATCTCAATTTTGAAAAATTGACACTTAAGACTGGTTTTGTACTCTAGGGTCACATTTGTGTTTTCTGAGCATGTGCTGTCGTTCTCTGTGTTCAGACCCGTCTCCTCCTCCTACTGTAAATATATCAAAACTTAATTTTTGATTAGTAATATGCATTGCTAAGAACTTCATTTGGACAACTTTAAAGATGATTTTCTCAATATTTAGATTTTTTTGCACCCTCAGATTCCAGATTTTCAAATATTGTCCTATCCTAACAAACCATACATCAATGGAAAGCTCATTTATTCAGCTTTCAGTTGATGTATAAATCTCAATTTCACAAAATTGACCGTTATGACTGGTTTAGTGCTCCAGGGTCACATATATGCAATAGTTGACTATGTAGGTGAAGTATAAACGCATATAGTTCAGTACCTGACAGCGCCTGCGCGAGACCGTCTCTAAACACGTGTAGCTGCGCGTCACTCAAGCGCCCGCGGCTGCGCAACAGTCTGCAGACGAAACTCGCGGCGGCAGAAACCTCCGGGATCATCTCCGCTCAGTCAGTGCGTCACTGTATTCCGTTCAGTAGAGTTTATGATGACAGCTAAGAGCTGCTGGTGAACTAGTGCAGGAGGCTTGATGAGGATGAAACGATGAACATTCCCCGAGTGAGACCCAACTATATCGACTCCGCGCTCTGCTCTGTGGTGAAGAAGAGCGAATCCGCCGATATATACGCACAGAGCCGCTGACGTCAGTCGCGCTGGAGTGAGCGACACGCCCAGCGTCCAATGAAACAGAGGGGCGGGGCTTCCTCGCTCCACCGATTGGCTGTCAGTATGGAAAACATGACGCTCGCATTCCGTCCGAGTCCAAATATGGAGAATGACGTCAAACGCAGCTCAGGTATGCGTGACGTCATTAAGAGAGGGGGGGGGGCGAAGACCGTAAAGTTTCGGCGTTTAATTATAGAAGCGCGCGGTGAAACCTCCGCAGAAACCTACAAAAGAGTCAAACTAAACAAACTAAACGACCAACCCCAATCCAACACAACATAACTGACAAAAAGCTCCAAAGTCCTGTTAATTTTCTAGAAATACGCAAAAACATTGTAAGTAATATAAGTGCATATGTATTTAACAATGTTTTCAGTGTGCATATATATATATATATATAAGTGTTCAGATGCAAAAGCTTGTAAGTACCGTTTGACATTTTCTTCTAAAATGAGCATTTCTTTCAGGCTCCTATGTTTATGCTATGCTATCCCATGTTAAAATTTCAAACGGTACTTACAGGCTTTTGCATCTGAACTCTTCAAGTATATATATATAGTTCAAGTATATATGAATAGTTCAGATGAGTAGACAAGTCAAGTCACCTTTATTTATATAGCGCTTTTAACAATACAGATTGTGTCAAAGCAACTGAACAGCATTAATTAGGAAAATAGTGTGTCAATAATGCAAAAAAAAGAGTATATATAGAGAAGATGAGTATAGAGTGTATATACACACACACACACATATATATACATACAGTACATACAACAGTTGTTTCTGGTCCTCGAATCTGATTGGCTGATAAGAGTGTGATATTAGAGCAATAACAGAACTCCATCCGTCTCTATCATTCTTGTGCTATTTTTCTCAGCAAGAAAACAAAACAAAAACAAAATAGGATGAATGCAGCTGTGAACCTGGATTTGGAGGCGCTGCAGCGACACCTGCTGGTCAAGCGCGTTACGACAAACAGATGTTAAAACGCACGCTAATTATTCAATGGTAAATATTAATTAGTTTTTATTTCCGTTTACATTTGCCACATATACACAGAATCTTTCAGTCCGTAAATGTCTCGGTCTGACTCGCAGAGCATCTCTGTCACTGTGCCAGCCCTGTATCTGTTACCATGGCGACCGCTCACATCCTTCGCCTCTTGCAGCAGCTTTTATTCACAATAATCCTCTGCTGTACATTCATATTTCAGGATTTTATGTTATTTTTTGCTGTTAAATTTTATACTATATATATATATACACACACACACACACACATCTAAATGTACTACACTGTATAGTGTGAGTTTGGTTGGTGTGCACACGGATGGCAGGTTCTGCTGTTGTGTGTGTGTGTGTTTGTCATGTGGACTGACAGCAGGTTTGTCTATATTTGGCTGTAGCGTGTGTGTTGCAGACGTTGATGCGGTTCATGTGAAGGGCTCTCACCATGGCAACACATGTGTCTTCCTGAGCGCTGGCTGGGACACGAGTCATTGTTTATATGAATGTGTCGTAACCAAACACACACGTAACACACACTCGTGTCTCTGGTTTAGGGTCCGGTGACCCGTCGGACCTCCGTGTGTCGTCTAAGGCAGGAGTGAGACGTCGCCATCTGGAGGTGAGTTGGGGCATTATGGGTAATCCCACAGGAGGTGTGTGTCCTTCCGCAAACACACACACACACACACACCGCCTGCAGTGCAACTGCTGTCTCCTCTTATCTGAGCTGACACATCCCTCCAGCAGTGTGTGTGTGAGAGAGTGTGTGTGTGTGTGTGTGTGAGAGAGTGTGTGTGTGTGTGTGTGTGAGAGAGTGTGTGTGTGTGTGTGTGTGAG